ATATAATTCTTTTCGTATTTTGTGGTTAAGTTGTACTCCATTGATTTAGGTGGTTAATTAACTCTGGTGAGTGGACTTTTTTTACCTGGTTGAGAATCTCGCAATCTTGTAGACTCTATTAAAAATGTCGTACAAAACCAAATTTGGTGGAAACTTGCTAGATATTTTTCTGATCGGCGTCTACTGAGGAAAATCGTCAAAATCCAGTCAGTATGTCCTCTGCTCTGACAGACAGACTTACACTTCAGAATACAATACAAAGACGACTTGATCTGGTTCAGAAACCTTTCGAATATGGACCAGAAATTCACTGAAGTGTTTATATTTGTCTTACATACACTAATACAGGCATCAACTACCCGCGTATGTAAATTTTGCGGAACGGGTCTCTCAGGACGATGCTATGGACTGTCGAACATGTGTGTGAATTTTGCTATAAACATAAAAATAACTTCTGAGAATGAAAGTAAAATGCATTACATCTGATACAGTTTATTAAGGATCGGTCATTGTAGCTAGCGATTTGAATACAATTTACTACAGGGAACAGAGTCCTTCTTGAGAAGCCAAAATCCGCACTGCCGATCAAGATATGTCCACCTTTCGTGGAACCTGAAGGTTGAGGTAGATATTCACAAAGCCCAGGCACAGGGCCCTGTACCATTGATTTAGGTGTTTAATTAACTCTTGTGAGTGGACTTTTTTTACCTGGTTTGTTTCCTTGGTTTCTATTTTCTCACCTAAAATTATGTACACATTTCTCTTTTCTCAATTATTGTTATTTTCTGCGCAGATCATAAAATATCAAAGAGAGCTGTGCGTTTGACAAAACTTCCGTATCGATATTCATTCAAAGATACATAAGTATTAAACCTCATCTTCTTATCTTGATCGCCATTTTACTGTCTGTCGACAGAGTACAAATTATAAGGCTCCTCATTTAACAGATTTCTCCAGCCTTCTTAGCTCAAAATATTCTCATTATTACCTTCTTTACAAATGCCATAAATCTGTGTCCTTCCCGCACGATAACACACACAGAAGAGGTTCAATTATAGTTTTGAATGTTTTAATTGATGTTTTTCAAAGATTCTGAAAGAGGTGAATTTATTTCAGGAGTTTATAATATTTAAACCACGTCTGGTGACGAATTTCATAACTTGCGCCTGTTAATTAGAGTTTACGCTTCGAAACATCAAGTAAACTTCATTTCATGGTGTAAATAAACAGGTGAATTCGTTTTGAGTGTAGCAGGGGCCTAACGCACGTTTGAAACTGTTAGATTTGATCTGTTGTGCACTTAATACTAAATTTATTAAATATGAATCAAAATTGTCATGTTTACCACTTGGTGTCTTTAATTAAATAGCTTCTTTGTTACTCCACATACTACATGAACCTATATAATGGAACAAATCCCCTACCTCTTGTTACTCCACATACTACATCAACCTATATAATGGAACAAATCCCCTACTTGATTTTATTGTGACTGAAATGAAGTTTTTTCAGTTATTTGGTAAACGTAATTATTTTATATACTAGCATGCGTCGTAGCTTGATAATATTTTTTAAATCCTACTCATAGCCATGTGTTTAGTTGATTACCATGGTGCGAAATGTTTTATATATGCACCAGTGCTTTTGTCGGCTGTGCTGTGTGCAGTTGTGCAGCCGAGTGGTTATGTGAATTCATTCTCTGCTGTTTTAACCCCGAAATTCCACCAAAGTTTCGATGTAATTATAAGATCATTAAAAATTAATAATATTCAACATTACCTGTTTTGCTGAAATTCAGATTGCTTTATCTTAAAATGTATTAACATTATTCTGTCTCTACTGAAGGTTATTATAATATTAGCCATTCAAATCCCACTGCTAACTATGTCCCACATGATTCAACAATCAGGAACATTTTGTTTTGTATTTATGTGTTTCGTATGATTCTCACAATAAACTCTTATCATTTCCTTAAACAGCGTTAAAGATTCGATTTTGATATACCATTAAGTAGAATGCATAGTGTATATACAGATATATAATTTATTCCAGTTATGTCACTAGTTCTGAGTGTGGAACGTTATAGGTTATAGTAATTGCAGATAAATGAAGAAGGAAGTCAATACGCATATGCTATTAAAATTTGGACTATTAATCGTTTCATCGGAAGTTATTATTAATAAATTCCTGGAATTTGCTCATCCGTCGTGTCATCATTTGTAAACGTACAAACTGGACCTGTTCTTTAGGTAACCAGCTAAAACGTCGTTTCCTTTTCAGAATACCAGACGATAAAAAAGTATAACTACAGTTAGCTTAATTAAAATATACCATCGTCAGAAGTCTCTGGGATTGACTTTTGTAGTCAAGTTTCCTCCTAAACACGCCTGTTTGTTGCTGTGTGTTTTATGTCTTTCATCATCGCGTAGAGACTTGACAATTAACCTCTGGACGTGGTATTGTTTCTCATAGCGTATAACAAAGGAAAATGAAATAGTCGAAATTAAAATTTCCCCATCCTCCTCCACCCTGTTTTACTCTAGTTTGTTTAAACTTTATAAACAGAGAGCATAAGAGCGTAGTTATATCACGATATTTAGTGGCAAAATTACCACCAGACCTTGTTGGATACTGTAAACAAGTAGTTAAAATGTGGCCAAAAATATTTGGATCTACAAATTTAGCATTTACGATATGTGTGCCATAAGAAAACACGAGATATTTCTGAATCGGGGCTATAGCCAGTTCTTCCATGACGTAATACGCACACGTGTTTATCGCGAGGGTGAAATAGGTTTAAAATGCCGTTATTGACGTTTGTCTCGTTATATATAAGACATATCGCTTAGAAGCACTGATCCTACTAGTCTGAATGTATAGTCGGCGCAGTAGTTTTTGGCCGGTGGAATTTTCAAGGGGAAGGCTAAGAGCGAGTCACTGACTGCACCTAGGAGCTTATCGGACTGAACGCCCAAACAAAAGAAATGCGCTGACCGTGCCACCTCAGGTACATAGAGTAGGCCCGTCCGCCAGCTTCTCCACCGGCCGAAAACTACTGTGCCGACTATAACTGGGGTTTGAAAATATCCATAAAAGTTAAGTCTGTGCTAATTTTATTTTGAATATAAATAGTCTTTGTCAAGAAATGTGTAAGATTTTGGGGCAGAAAGTACACCTCTGAAACGTTAGTAAACTTCTACGGCGCGACATCCCAGAACACAGTCATCTTTATATCGCTAATTGTTATAATTTATTCGCGATTCACTGTTATTTGTGTCGTGATCATTTACAACACTACAGGCCTTTCGGATGTTGCAGGTGGATAATGTGCAGCATCCATCCTGGCAGGCCCAGCTCAGGGGTCGCAAGAAATGGACCTTGCAGCCGCCACCCGAGTGCTACTACCAGTGCAACCATGTGGAGGTTATCGTCGAGCCCGGAGAGATCAGTGAGTTTTATAGGACGCAATGTCTTTTTAAACATTAAGTTTAGTACGAAATTGGAAGTTAGTGCTACAGACGAGGACGTTGAAAATTTAGCAAATATTTTGATGCTAGTTCGTAAACGTGTATGCCCCCTTGGCTTTGAAAAAAAAAATCCGAAGGTAAGTCTATAGAGTTTCTTCAAAGTATTCCAGAAAAGAAACAGATAATCTTTACCCAGATATAATGCTTGATACTGAATTGAATTGTGGTTGTATGTGGTGTAATCCATAGTATCCATGAAGATGAAGGAACGAACTTAAGTAAAACAAATAATTATAACCCACACATCAAATACACATATAACGATTGCATTTCACACATTTTCCTATAGAGGACTCTGGGGTATACATAGTTAGGCTGTCTGGAAGAACAGAAAAGAATGCAGAGGTTAACGATGTAGTTATAAGGAATTGATAAAACCATAAAAACACGAACATTTTTACTTTTATTTATTGGTTACTGTACTGTAGACCTTAGTTCTAAAGTCATAGTTTATTGGATATCGGGTAGTTCTGCTGCTACGTTTGTGAAGTGCCGGGTTCAAATACCGTTCTGTCTGTCTCGACTGAAGTTCTTCGTTTTTCTGAGACTCCCCAGGTAAATGCCGGAATATTACTTAAAAATTTTACCAGAAACACTTCCTTCCATTTCATTATTAATGAATCATTCAGTCATTGACGCCATATAATCTGAGATATTTAAATCGCCATTAAATAAATCAAGAAAATTAAATAGTGGGGCAGAACTCGTATGCGCTCATCGCCTGATCGAAATGGTAACGCGTAACGCAAGGTCAGTGGTTGCCTAGTATAACTGTAGCAGCCGCTTTGGACTTAGCAACACTTCCCTCGCTTTATTCGCTTACAGAAGTGGACCTTTCTCCATGAGTGTTTGAGATCTACTAACCTGTTATAGTCAGCTGGGAATCCATTCAAGTACTGTGGCGCTGTTCCTACTGCTTGCGGCGAATATCTCAATCTCCTATGAGAACTGCAGTTTTGAACAGTGGAACGCTGACTAATGGTACCGCAGTGACATAAAACCCAGTAACTATGGAACGTTCAGTGGTGTATCTTCCTAATTTCAAAACAAGTCCTGAGGGAAAATATTGCATATGTGTTATCATCGAATCAAAATCATTGACAATGAGAAGGAAATACATTTACCAAAAGTATGAAGTGGATTCGTTTTTCAGGCAGTAAGCTCCTCTGAAACCATAATCAATATCTATTATCCATTGATCGGAGTTCTTAACGTTGACGCTAATGACATTTCTTGACATAACGTTACTTAATTAACCGTTGGAGTAGGAGATTCGCCACTGAAACATTCCCTGATTTAAGAAAGTATCTCTCTTTAAAAATTACTACGTTTTGGATAAATTCTAATAATATCCTGAATGAACACTTTTTCTTCAAAGAGATTGTTTTATGTTTTCTGTATAGCGAGTTCTTTCTGTATACATGTTTCATAAAGGAATGTTCTCATTTAGTGACACTGTCAGTACTAGGCGAAGAATTTCGAATTTTGAATTTCTTTCCATTCCAAGACAATTCTACTTTGGTAAAGCTGAAGGGGTTCTTGAGACTTATCATATCAGCGTGATATATGAATGTGAAGTGAACTGCCAGTTTTACCCTCTGACCGCCTTAACACTTGGAGACTGAATAGAACTGGAATGCGTGACACTTCTAAGTGTTGCGCCTGCCACGTGTGAAACCCCTGGATTTCGAGACTGTCACTTCTCTGACTGAGCTATCCTGACTCATGTTCCATTTCGTTGTGCCTTGTATCTCTCTCACTGCTGCCACACGTATTGAAAATGTCCTGGCTTCTTCGTGGAGTTGCATTCACGTAATACGTTATTTGAAATAAGGTCAGGGTCGAGTCGGAGGTGAATATTACGTTCCTGCCGTTGATTGGCCTGTCACAAAACGGAAAACATCCAGCACTGTGTGGAGCAGGTACATAAGATGGGATGATCTCCTAATGAACGTTTTGTATGCATTGCATGAGCATGACCTACTTTGTTCCGCACTCTTCTCCGACTGCAATCCGAGATGAAAGAGCGTGTGTCACAGAAAGATAAACTCTCCGCAGATATTAGACTAAAATGACAGATTCTCTTGGAGGTAGAGTTTCTACATGTGGTGGTTAAGAACGTGTTGGAATTTACAACGAAATCCTTTCAGTTACAAAATCTAAAAAGTGTAAACCGATCTGATGGAAGGTTCAAACATAAATGTAATTCTGTTGCGAGCATAAGCGTCATATGGTCGTTGTTTGTCATATTTAAGCATCGTTTATTAATATTTAATTCGGTCATCGTAATTATTAACTTACGAAGATGTAGAATTTCCTCTTAAACGAAGCTCGTCTATTGAAAATCGTTGATGGGACTCCTTCCAAATCCCTGCTAATTTGGGTAGCATTATTTCCCGTTCTTCTGTTTTCCTTGAGGTGAGCCTAATTCTGTGACCAAGCAGCTGATCGATATTTTTGTGATGTCTGCATTATTTGAGGTTAAATGCTTCATTTGTAAGTTATTTAACAGTGATGTATGTGAGGTCACTTGTGAACGATGGGTCATAAATTGGCCATGGTCTATTTTGAAGTACCATTTCAGAATTCGTCTTGAAGAACTGAAAAAATAAATCAAAATAAGGCAGACCGTGGTTCGAACAGACGCTTTCCAAATAGAAGTCGGATAAATTACGGCACAGCTGACAAAAGAACTAGCAAGACGCGGGGAAAGTGGAAAATCAAGCTTCAAGGAGAGTAAACTGTTGGAGAGAGAAAGTGGTTGGAGGAAGAAGAACCAAGGATGGAGAAGAAAGGATGGCGATAATCATGAAGAAGGCAATGACGAGGAAGAAGGAAATTTGAAGAAGTGGTCGAGGATGTAGGAAAAGAAAAATGAAACAAGAGAGATACCTAAACGAAGCGATAGAATGGGGAAGGAATATTAAGAGAGGACAACATGAACATAGTAGAATGATTAGGAATTAAATTCTAAGACAAGATGTTAGACGGTGGCGGGACGATATATAAAAGAATAAGGCAACAGACAAAAGTGTAACCGGACTGGAATAAGAAGGACGAAGTGGAAAAGATGGGGAAGATAGAAATACTAGAAGGATGAAGTCGTCCAGTGGATCTAGTGTCAGGAGGCCGGGATTCAAAGGAAAATAACTTGAAGGAAATGATGAAAGTATTAGTAGAAGAAGAGGTGGAAGGGATTAAGAGAAAAGAGAACCGACTTTGGCCCATATGAAAAGGAGGAGATGAGCGGCGACGATGTAAAATGGAAACGAACGGCTGTTATGAGTACATTGAGCAGAAGTAATATAAAGAGGGCTAACACTGAAATGTGGGCCTAACTAAAAAAGTTATTAGGAACTTGATGTGTAAATTTTCCCCAAATTAAGTTCTGGTATGCTAGCTCGTTGTTAAATATTATTATTTGAGAAGTAGTTTTGTTTCTTCTCAGCTACGTTTGTTTCTTTTACAAATTAATGATCAGCTGCACTGGTTGTCTCTTCAATATTAATCAGCAACTATGTTGTTTCTTCCTTAAATATCCAAGCTCTGTTCTTTGTTCCCTTTGGTGTATTAACGACGAGCTGTGTTTTCTCCCTTAAATATTTAGGAACAGATGCGTGGTTTCACCCTTCGTATTTATAGAGTGCGTGGGCTATTAATACCCCATGCTCAGTAGAACAATTCATGGTCTGGAGCCCAAACAGAAGAAAACTTCACCTATTCATTTATTCATGCACATCAACTCTGCACATCCTTCACATAAAAATACAGTGATTTATAGCGATATGATGTGAATTGCATTTTAACTACGTCTACTTTTACACGTACAGGGATGATAATAATTCTTTGGATTAATGTTCACGGAGCAACCATATTTATTGCTGGGTATAAATATATTTTTAATCACCTTGATTAGAACTGCCAGAGAGGTTCAAAGTTAAACGTTCCCAGAACTTCCTTCACACAAGACTTTGAATAGAATTGAGATATTGGCATTTGTAACATTGGCATTCTTGTAAGACTTGAGGTTCTCACAGCGGTGAGTATGAAGATTTCTGTCTTCTGGGTTGTTGCGCTGTGTAGTCTGGTAGATGTTAACCAACGTTTCAGAGGTCATACTGCCTCCGTCATCAGGGCGATGAATGGTAAACATCTACCATACTACACAGCACACAACTCAGAAGACAGAAATCTTGATGTTCCATAAACATATAGTTTTTATAACACTTATTTTGTTAGGAGTTGAATAAGTGTTTCAGATGAGTTCTTTGCAATTTTGTACAGTTTGCAGGACATGATGTGTGTTTATGGCAAATAAATAATAATAAAAGCTGTCAAATCACAAGTAGGCCTTCTACACTATTCAATCACATATTAGTTTTTCCTGTATTTCAATAAATATATAGCTTAAGAGTATAAAGTACACTGTCTAGAAATTGTTTTTAATAATGAGCCAATGTGAATATATAAAGTTTGATTGGAGATTCACGTGTACAAGGGAACAACCTGTTGAAATCAATAGGACATATAATGGGACTATCACTGCTTGCTCATATCAGTTACATCTAACGCCATGTAGTCACTCTGAATATGGCTGGGAAAATAGAATCATATAGTCCAGGGACATTTACCCCTTTGAAGCCAAAAATCGGCTAAATAATGTACAGAGTGTTTCTAAATTATGTGGCATAAATGATGGGGAGCTGTTGGTCGTCAGTATGAGTCAAGAAAATCCAAAGTTGATATGCTCGAAAACGTTTATGTAAATATTTACAGAGGGTCGAAGTTCAAGGGTGCAATGTTCCAGCAGCTTCGAAATGCGAGGTGCTTGATTCTGGGAGGAGTTACTTGTTACACAAGTTCAAAAGATGCTCGAAATGTCCTTGATGGGCAGGTGCACTGTCGTGCAAGAACCAAATCC